CTGTGATGCCAAGCTGAATTTTCAGCATCATTACTCCAGTCTTCAGTGTCACATGATCCTTCAGAAATCACTCTAATATGCTGATTTATTATCATTGTTAGAAACAGTTGTGCTGCTTCATGTTTTTTGGAACCTGTGATACTTTTTTCAGGATTCGTTTATGAATATAAAGTAAAATAAAAAAACAGCATTTATTCAAAATGGAAATCTTGTGTTACAATATACACTATCGTTCAAACATTTGGAGTTTTAAATAAATGCTGTTCTTTTTAACTTTTTATTCATATAAGAATCCAGAAAAAAGTATCAGTTTCCAAAAAAAAGATAATAAATCAGTATATTAGAATGATTTCTGAAGGATCATGTGACACTGAAGACAGGAGTAATGATGCTGAAAATTCAGATTTGATCACAAGAATATATTACATTTTACAATATATTAAAACAGAAAACCAATATAAGAAATTGAAATAATATCTCACAATATTACAGTTTCTGTATTTTTGATCAAATAAATACAGCCTTGATGAGCACAAGAGACTCCATTAAAAAACATTAAAAATCTTACTGATCCCACATCCATACATACATATATATAAAATGTTTTACTGATTGACTGTAATAGCACATATTGCAATAGCAATATAATATGATATATTTATGTAATATTTCAATATTACTGTATAAGAATTGTAAATGTATTAAAATATATTATTATTTTATATATTAAATTATATGTGATAATTATGTATATAATAAAATACATTTTAAAAAATAGATATTTTTATGTCAAAATGTGTCAATGTTTTTAATTATTAAGTTTTTGCATGCGTTTATGGTTTCTTGCTGACGTGAAATATTTTGTTTTCCTCATGCAGACAGACAGACACACGAGCAGCAGGTACAAGACTGACCTTTGACCTTTCACGTAGTTTGGTGACGTCCGAGTCCTTCTCATTCTCTCTCGGTTTTTCCTTCCTCTCAGGTCTGATTCGGTCTTGAATGACTGTATTCTCACAAGGGGATCAGAGTCCAGGGACTTTAAGAAGGTCAGCAGGGGTTTGTGGTTTGGCTGATTGTGTTGGCAGGAGGTGTGTGTGTGTGTGTTTTATGTCTGTATCCGTGTGTGTGTTTCAGTTGTTCGAGGAGATGTCCAGGGAGAACCGCCGTCTGCAGTCACAGTTATCAGACACACAGAGAACCATTTCACTGACCCGGGTGGAGCTGGAAAAGGCCACACAGGTGCACATGCACACACACTCACACACACACACACACACACACTCTCACACACAC